AAAGTTAGGTAAGTTAGTTAATTATAAGAAATATGACATGTTTTTCCTAAAACACCATAATCATCTTTCTTAATATCTTCTTTTCCTCAATTATGGTTAACGGAATATTCATAAGGATAATTTAGGAAAAATTGATAAATATAAGAAATGGGTCTTATATTTAGAACTAAAATCAACTCAATAATTAGATCTTATATTAAAGATCGGAAGAGTACTATAACAATAATTTTTATCTGGATATTTTTTTCCGAAAAAAGAAAGATGTACCTGATAAATTGTTATTAAGGAGGTACCTAGAAGGCGCCGTAAATACCAACAATGAATAGGCGTGGCGGATGATAACGCAAGGCAAAGGAGTCTTTTTTTTTTTTTTGGAAGGTATAGCCCCTAACAGTGAAAATGAGACAGGAGGCTTCGGTGACCTACAGCTGCTATAGTAATAATAACAACAATTTCTAAAGATATCCACTATATTCATTCGATATAGGCTGACTTGGACTCATAGAGGTTAAGTAGCAACTTGTGTTTGTAAGCTGAAACGGCACTATCCGGTTACCCCTCCGTGTCCTCCTCGGTTTCAGAAGCATTCCCTTGTTTGGTAACTACCCAATTTCTGTCACTGCCAGTGGGTAATGTGTCAACCTCCGCCCCAAACATCCCTCCGCCTTACTTGCATCCGCCCTTACTAACTTATCCAAGATAATTTTTTATCCTAAATATAAGATCATGATTCATTTTATCTCTTATATTTATGTATTTTTTCAAGGTAATCCTTTTAGTAATAGTAATTCTAGACAATATACTTGATTAATAAGGATATTTTAGAAAAGACAACATCTATTTATTACAAATAACTAACTTAACTTATTTTCATAATCTTCTTAAATTAGTCAACTAGCTCTTATATCTAGGACATAAAGTAGTACTCCTCCAGTCCTTAATATAGGACCCAATTATTGAGTTGGTTTTGGTCCTAAATATAAGACCCATTTATCATATTTATCAATTTTCTCTAAATTACCCCTATAGAGACTCTCTCAACCATAATCAAGTAGTAGAAGAAAAGGAGGTATTAAGAAAGATGATTATGGTATTTTAGGAAAAACATGTGACATTTCTTATAATTAACTAACTTACCTAAAATCATTAATTTAATCAAATTAGTTAAATGAGTCTTATATTAAGGATCGAAAGAGTATTAATTTAACTAGCATCTTCAGTCTACTTAAATTAATCAAATTGGCAATGTAACATAAAAAGACTGCATAAACAGGATACACACATGACAATAACATGAAAAGAATTGATGTACAGTAAGGGTATGTTTGGCTCAATGAGAGGAAGGGGAGGGGAGGGGAGGGGAGTAGAAGGGTTTTAATATTATCTTGTTTGGATTTATAAAAAAAAAAAAAGGAGAGGGGAGGGAAAAATATTTTAATATGGACAATTTTGCTCTTATTTTATTTAAGGCATGGGCATAATGGTCACAACATGACAAAATGGGCATAATGGTCATAATATGACAAAATATTACCCTTTCCCTCTAAATCCTCCCAATTTTGAAGGGGAGGGGAGGGGAAATTTTAAAAAATTTTCCATCCCCTCCTAAAATTTGTGTGTTGCCAAACAAGGAGAAATCATTAAAATCCCTCCCTTTCCCTCCCTTCCCTCCCAAATCCCTCATACCAAACACACCCTAAAAGAAGTATAATGGAAAAGAGAAGTGAGGAGCTAAATTAAAAGCGAGCACATCCTGGAGAGAGATCGAACGCCTAGCCGAATCAGAATGACTCAATTGAGTTTTCAGTGAAGGACGGTATAATTTAAAAAACTAAGACAAAAAACAACAAATATACGTATGCGAGAGAATTATTTACTTCTCTCTCTAATAGTGTTTATACTTCATTTGATAGCGACGATTTTATACTGTGCATTTAGAAAACTCTAAGATGTTATTATGGCATTCCGTAACCTTCACGTCATGAGCTTAAGCTTTTAATTACAAATAAAGGACACCATTGCTGACTGATTAAAGGTTAATTTTTGGCCAAACATATAGAGTCGGTGGCTTTGGGCATTGAGCTTGAGCATAAACAGACTAAATTCTTTTATTCAAAAAGAAAGAGAGACTAAATTCCTACTAATTAATTATTACTGGTTATAAACTTCATGACAATGAGCATTGGATCATGAAAATAATTTTCCAATATTAATGCTTGAGAATGTGTGTGTATCAAATAGAAGAGAAAAACAATGACGTAATTTTCTTATATTCAACCTTTATTTTCCCCTCTTTTATAACAAAATTTTGGAAGATATCTATAAATGCAAAAAAAAATCTCGTAATATTTTCGAAACAAAAAATAGCATATTTACGCGTCCACCAGGCATATCCCATTTGTGTATTGAATCTACACACACACACACATTTGAACAAGCTAAGCCAAAGTGCAGCCCGTGAATTGGCATCTATATAGAATCCATAGATACAAAGAATATAAACCTTTTCCTGTTATATCTGTGACTGTGGCCCCACACCTCTACACAGATGGCTAATCATTCTAAGTTTATATAAGTGGATTTGCTAATTATATTAATTGACGATTAAGGTTAGTCCCTTTCACATTTTTATAATATGGCGTGTTTGCAAGCGTAATCTTTCTCCCTCGAAAGCATGTTTTATCAATATAGAACGTCTGCAAGTTGACCCCTTGACATATAATACTACCTCCGGTCTTTAATATAAAAGCTAATTAATTAATTTGAGTAGATTAAGAAAGTCTGTTGAATTAGTTATTTATAGTAATTATGTGTTGTCTTTTCTAAAATACTCTTGCTAATAATGTATTAGCTAACACTACCATTAGATTGAATGACCGCTATATGGACTACTTTAAAAAAAAAAAAAGATAAATATGATAGGTAAAATAGATTGGGGTCTTATATTTAAGACAAAATAAAAAGTTAAATTAGTTCTTATATTAAAAACCGGAGGTAGTATTACGAGGCAAAGTCAGAATTAATGTGCATATTGCCACCTCTTTGTCCTGAAGTTCACCAAGATCTCACATGTTCAGATTCTTTTTCCAAAAATATTTTATAATTTTTATAACAAGAAATATTTATTTATTTTTTAAAATGTTCATGCATGTACTTGAACAGGCTCTCTCTTATCCGTTCACACGAATAAGGAAAAAACTGAACAGAAAGAAACGAGTCCCATATATGAACAGATAGCTGATAATAGTGTTTCAGCTAACTGATCATTTTGTCTCTTTCTCTTTAAATATGTTTCATTATTGATGGGATTTTATCAACTCAGCAAAATTTTTCAGAGATATACTATTAAACAACAAAAGCTGCGTTATTGTTGCCCTAATTAGAGCTGTGATTTCTTTGTCCTCTTTCTTGCAATGACAAAGAGCAGGTTCAACTAACAAACTTAGCAAGATCGATTAAGTTAATCTTCTTGCGAAAGAATGTTGACGTATTATTAACAATTTAATATATAATCTAATAAAATACTTAGAAAATACTTTCCTGAGCTCCATCACTTATATACTGCTGGTAGTATTAGATTTCAAGCCCGCACAGTCTGTTTGGTTTAAATTTAAAAGTACTTTTCACTTAAGGCAAAGTATTAACCCTTGGGCATCGAGATTTAAGCCCCGTTTGGGTGACACCCCAAACCATGGTTTGGAGACCCAAACCATGGTTTGGGTGATAAGTCACCCAAACACCCACTGGTTTTGGGCAAACCGTGATTTTAGGTCAAAACCATGGTTTTGACTCCAAAACCATAGTTTTGAAAAAAGCAGAAATTTTTTGCTTTTGGAGAAAAAAAGGAGAGTGTGAGAGCCTATATGATATGTATCTTGTTATTTTTTTATAAACATATTTTTTATAAACATATTTAATCTTATATTTTATAAATATATATACATATTAATTATTTATTAATTATATTATCTTATGTATTATTAATTATGTTGGTAAAAAATATATTATTAACAATTTTATTCCTTCAAATTAAAATATATCATAAAATCTATTTTTTCTGTAATTATCATATTAACTTATGTCTTTTTTTTAGTAATTTGTATATATAAAAAGTGCTTCTGATAACAACTATCTAAACACTCTCACTTCTCAGAATCACTTTTTTACAAAATCTATTCTTCTCAGAATCTATTCTCCAGAATTACTTTTTTAAACCACGGTTTGGTTTCATCCAAACACAGCCAGCCCAAACCCTTCTCTGGATTTCATAGTTTCTTCTTTTGACCAGATCATAGTTTCAAACTTGGGACTTGGGTGAGAAATATTATGAGGCCCACTATAATCAATTTGGATTAATATATAATTTAATTGCATATGCTATTAACTATATTCATTGATTATTGAATTCGGGGTTTCGATTTGCAGAGGTAAGCTTCTCAAAATTCAACTCTGCACTCCAACCTAGTCCGATTATTTGGATCACGCCTCAATATTCTGATTACATAATTAATGCCAAGTCACTAGTGCTAGCTGGCCAGTTCCTTAAATGATACAATTTCTATAACTATGATATATACAGTACCTTTTAATAATTATACGTGAAAACTTTTTTTGTAAGGACCTACATTTCTTTTGAAATAAAAACACATAAGTATCGAATTAAAAGTTTAAAAAAAGTATATGGAAAATGATTTTCCCATTTATAAATAACTACCAATTGCTAGTGCTTGAAGGGCTGGAGTTTATTAAGTTGATCCAAACAGAAAGCAATGCTAGCATATGGTAAGATTGATTTAACCAACCATGATTATCTCCAAAAACAGAAACTTTTTGAACAATCAAAATAACACCCGCCAGACTCATCATCAATACTTCTGCATGTATTCTTAAATCTCCTTTGTTTCTTACCCTCCTTTTTTTCTATATATAGCCATTTAAACATAAGCAAGTACAATATAACAATTAGAAACAAGATATCACCAGAAAGTCTGTTTCTTTCTTCAACCATTTAAACCAGCTGTGAAAATTACACCTGTGTGAGGCAGCCATAAACCGCCTTGAATGAAATTGGCCACTGTGAAGGGATAAGCCTGCTTCGCGTCCCTCAACACATGAAAACCTGGCCATTTGACTCGGTTCTCCAGAGCAGCCCCTGGACCACCGTTCATGTACTCCGCATAGTACAGTGTGTCCAAAGAAGAATCATCGCCGTTCCACTCGAGCCACCCTCGGGGGTCCACCAAGTCGTTTATGTAGGTTTGCATGTAAATTGTTCGAGAATATGCCTTCCAAGGCCTCCCCAGGTATGTTTCGGTGGATCCAACGAAAGGAAGAAGGTCGGAATCTGCAGAGATTTCGCAGAATTGGAAGGAGAATCCTGTTGGTTCATGCTGGTCTTTTCTTCCCTGAGCTGTGATTGCGTTTTTCTGTCCTGGAAGCCCTTTTTTGGCTAGAATCTCGCACTTTTGGAACACTACTGTGGCATCTCCGAAGATGAAATCCACTGTGCCTTTTATTCGACATTCTCTGTAGAATTGACGCATTGTGTGTGTGAAGAGGCTGTCTTGGTACCCATAGATGCCACAGCGGTAGAAAACTGATAGGTCAGAACCTGATCTCAGGGCCACCGCTTGGTGCTTCTGTGGACCTGCCGTGTTCCGGAAGGTAATGTCTCGTGCTATGAATCCTCTCCCGTTAACGGCTACATATAATGTGCTCATTAGGGAAAAAATGAGAAAGGATCAAACTGATAAGCTGCAGAGTTCTTATTCTTAATAATCTTTAATTATATTTAATAATACTATGTGATATCAAGGTTATGTAATAGTCTAATAGGACAAAGAAGGGGTTTCTTTCGAGTGTTATAATTGCAGTACGTACTCCGTTTTGAAGCTTTATTATAATCAGTTGGTTGGAGACTTGGATTATGTTAGTTAAGCAAGGCCCTACTTACCGTTGGATAAGGCCTTCTTCACTTATCAGTTAATGAAGACCCCAACAGGGTTGCTCTAATAACCCAACTTCTTTTTTTCTTTTTTCTTTTTTTTTTTTTTGCCAACCTAATAACCTAACCTCATGGTCAAAGGCATCAAGATTTTTTTGTCTTGTATAGAAGAAGATTCTATAAAATCTAGTCTTTATGCTTTTCATGCCAAGTTAGAGAGATCTGGAGGGAAAACAATAGGGAAAGGACAGAGCTTTAATTTGACGACTGGAAATATGAAAGTTCTTACCGAAAGTAGCCGATCGGTATGTGGTCCAACCGTCGATGAAATTCCGATTACCGGTGATAAGAGTGGCATCCATGCCTTCACCGATCATCATGATGTTCCATTTCTTCTTCTTGATCTCCACATTTTCTTTGTACACGCCCCTCTTCACGTATATCACAAAACGTTTCATGCTATAATCAGGGGCTGCTTCTACTGCATCTGCAACTCTAGTGAAAGTCCCAGTTCCATCTGCTGCTACTACAACATCCGCATTAATCTTACTTGACTGTAGGATCTTCTGATCCCTTGGTTTGATCCATGAAGGGAACTGTACATTGCTCGTAGGGAAGTCGTCCGGACCATGATGAACCTGGGTTAAGAGTTGCTGGATCGATGAGATCATTTGGCTTAGAAGAGATGATACTAGATTATCTACAATGCTATTGATTCCTTCGAACCCTTCCATGCATGTCTGTGGGTTTGCAAGTGCAGCACTCAGCCATGTTCTCAGATCAGAGCCCAAGTTCCCCGTGCCGTTTTTCTGGCCTGAAACAATAGTGCGTGTGTGTGTGTGTGTGTATTCTCTTCATATTAGTTTCCTTAAAATGGGAATCTTTACGTGACTTTTTAGTTAAAACAAATTAAGAGGGGATCCCCTGTTTTCAAATAACATAGAACAGATGAACAGAACAGAGATATTGATAAAACTTGGATTTGGAAGGTATATAATGTGCGTTTAAGGAATTGTGTACAATCTGATTCAACCACCAAGATATTCGTCTGGTAGAGTTTCAGAATAGACTGAGAAGAAAGTGAAGAAGAAGAAACCCAGATTGAATAGAACTCCCCATACTGCTTTCCACAGACAGATAATAATTCTCTATAGATAGGGAAAAAAAGCTGCATGTCTATTGTCTATAGTATTTTGGCTGACAAGAGAAAGAAAATGGTACCCGCCGGAGTATCAGTAGCAGAGGCAGACAACTGGAGATCATCAAAAGACAAGTCCAGCAAGTCGATGCAGTCATTAATGGCATTGGAGAGACGGAAATCTCGTCCATTGGGAAATCTAGAAAAGATGGAGACAACACGCTGCAAAAGACCAATGATTCCTTGAACAGAGTTTCTGAAATCCGAAGAGGAAACCTTCAAGCACTCTAAACCCTTAAGATCACTGCTATGAGCATCACTAATAGGGGCCAACACACCCAGAAGCAGCATCACCAAGAAACTAAACGAAATGGTGGGTGTTCCAGACGCCATTTTGGTTGAAGGAGAAAGGGCCATAAGCGTCTCAGGCTCTTGCTACTGCAACAGTGATTTGTGTTTGTGACTTGGAAAATGCGAATAAATAACACAGTGATGAGGCCTATGTAAGATGGGAGAGAAGGGGAGAGAAATCGGAATATGTTGGTTAGAATGGCAGGTAAGGGAATTAAAGAAGGTTGGAGCTGGAGGTGAAGTTTCATGGGAGAGTCATCGTCTAAAAATAGGTCGGAGTTACAGAACACTAGGATCTGAGGTTTGTGTCTGATTTGCTAGTGTCGACGGTGACCATGCATGTCCCGCTTCAAAGAGGAGAGAAACAAACAATACCAACTAAGACCAATACCTCCTTCTTCTACCAAGCCAAATTCACTGTGAAAACACTGATACGAGTACTTTATATCGGACTCATGTGTGTTTGCGTTTGTAGGAATGATGTAAATGCTATTTCTCTGCTACATGAAATGGTCTACATTCAACTGTCAACTATTCTACAAGTCTTAACTAACATGCGACTTTTTTTTCTTTTTTTTTGTTTCTATCTCAGCTAGAGACAGTTAAGTGGATAGATAAATTGGGCCCTCTTCTTTTAATCCTAGTGTTATCCAAGAGCCATAGTTTATTTCTTCAGTTTAAAAAATTTTGCCACAAGAGTACTAAACAAGTTTTAGCTTTCGGATTAAGAGCTGAGCTTGACATTTTTGTCCTTTGATATGTCGTGCCGTCTCTGAGAAAAAGGTGTGAGATGCTCATTCATGGCTCTGTTACAGTGCCTGCTTTCACCTCAATTTCTGAAGCCAATCATGGTCATGGAGGCTCACATTTTAATGCCATTGCTTCTGTTATGGATGTAAACCATGCATGCTCGTGGTCTGTCTATATTTTTTTTTTCTTCCAAAGATTAAACTATTCTTCTACTGAAATCTATTCAAGACACTGTCGGATACTAGACGTGAATGGTTTGTTTATTTTTAATTTAACAATAATCATAAATAGACTCATGTTCAAACCGTTTTGATGTTACAAAAAGAATTGATATTAGAATAAAATTAAATATAAAAAGTCATAGCTTAACATCCTATTAATAAGCCATAGATTATATAGCTTTATTTTTTTCATAATCAATGTAATGCATAGGATCACTCATGTTCAAACCGTTCTGAAGTCAGAAACAAGTCCGTGATGAAAATGCCTGATTATTCAAGGATTTTAAAATTTGCACTTAATTTGAAGTTATTATAAATGCAAAGAAAGCAAAGGGTGTGGGGTTTTTTTTAAATTTATTCCTCTCTTTTTGTAAAAAAAAAAAAAAAATCATTGTTTTGACCAAGCTATGGCCAATGGACAAGGAACCAGTAAAAGTAAAATGAAGTAAACAAATTTTTTTGAGTTAAAATATGCCTACAATAAAATACTTTCCCGCTCTCTCGAGTCTTTTTCCTAATTTGATATGTATTAACTCAATCAATCCACTTGTTTATGTTTATGTCAAGTGTCTTAGTCACAAGGGACAATATGAATAGTGGTAGGAGAGCAACCTCTTTGCGTGGTTACACCAAAAAAAGAACAATTGAAATAATTTAAAAGACAAAGAAATCAATGATATGAGATTCTAGTCCATTTCATCCAATTTAATGCTCCTATAAGCCAATTTGTTGCCCTCCAATTATTCCAAAAAGACAGGTTTCTTAATCAACTTCACATAATGCCAAGCCGAGTGAAGTCTCACGCAGGCCTAAAATAGTGAAATGTTTCATATTTTGGACACTTCAAGGTTGGGATGATGATAGTTTAATGTTCATTTGAAGTGGACAAAAACAATTAATTCTTGACGTTGGCCTGCAAACAACAATGCTGATTTAGGACTTGACTTGGCCATAGCTGATTTCTTCAAGTGTTATAGTTTTTCACTTTGATGAGGAGTAATCCCTAAAATTGCCAGTACTAAAGATTTAGCAAAATATTCCAACTTTTGAGTGCATGGCTTTTCCCCCCCTATGATTGAGTTTATAATAATCAGAATAGCTTTTATGTATTTTTATAGTGCTCAAAATGAATCTTGTCATTTTGTATATAATTACATGATATCCGATAATATCAATAATTGTATTCAAATATTATTAGGTCTAACTAGAAGTGATTTTTTTCACCTAAAAAGTGAGATTTACAAGTTTAAAGTTTTTTTTGTCCACCTAACGGATTAGTAGGAATAAGCTATGTCTTTAAACTTGTACTCGCAGTATTGAAGTTTCCATTAGTAGACATTTTCATCACATGAGAAACATAATCTCTTTCTTTAATCTTCTCTCGTAACTTTTTTTTTTTTTTACGGTAATTAAGTCCTTACCCATTCAACCACCATTAGCGAAAAATAAACTATATAACGTTTTTGCTTATAAAAACAAGTGAAACAAACTATACAGGTTTTATTAATGTATTGAAATCAGTATGACTAAAATTATTGGAACATGTTGCTGGTTAAAAAAAAAAATATTGAACATGGGGAAGCGTAGGGCAACAATATAATTATAACAAGTTCGTATTTTGTTGATTTTTTTCACATGATAACATAATAAATCAAATTTACAACATGGGCTAATTAACAGGATTTCCGTCCAAAGTTTAAAAAAGTTTGAAAAAAAAACATTTTAAACAATTATTCATACCGCTTTTAATCTTTTCAACTTTGAAATTCTGTCTAATCGTTGGTTCTTCTAATCATTACGTGGGCACAGGCCAAAATGAGCATTTCTTTTAGCTTTTAGTCAGTTTGCTATTTCAACAAAAAAAGTTAAGCGTATGAAGCTAAAAGGTCAATACAAGGGAAGTAATTCCCACTAACTCTTATATTTCTTTTATAAGATTTATCCCCAAAAAAGAACATTATATAGGCCCAAAATTATGGCATGCATCTTTCACGGGTATTTAAATAAATCCCATTTATTTTTTGTAAGAGGAAACTTTTTTCTTATTAGAAAAGAAGTTTACTAGCGAGCTAATTTATATTGTAGTATTAATGGTATGGTATATAATGTGATAAAGGCATTAGTAAAAGAAAATGAAGCAAAGTGATGAGTAAGGGGGAAGGAAGAACAAGGGTGAAACGGTGAAGAGTGAAGACTAAATGATGAGGTCCCTCCCGCGGATCTTTCCCAGAAACAAAGTGCAATATTATACCTTTAAATGTTCACCTAAGATTTGTCTTTAGACTTTAATTTGGATGACCTTCACAAAAAAGGGCAAAAAAGGATGATGTGCGAATGAGATTGAGAAGTATCCGCGCAATTTGTGAATTATTATATTAGATTTGATAGTTTATAAAAACATAAATTAATACTACCTCCGGTACTAATTATAAAATTTCGTTTGTAGATTAATGAAAACCGGCGATAGTACATATATAGCCATCCATACCAGTTATTTTATGGTTTAGTAATACGGAAGGTTTTTCATTAGTGGAAAATAGCTAATATAATACTCCTCCGGTCCTTAATATAAGACCCATTTAACTAATTTGATTAGATTAAGGAAGTCAGGTAAGTTAGTTAATTATAAGAAAAATGACACATTTTTCCTAAAACACCATAATCATCTTTCTTATTACTCCCTCTCCCTCTTCTATTTGATTATGGTTGATGGAGTATCCATAAAGGTAATTTAGAGAAAATTGATAAATATGAGAAATGGGTCTTATATTTAGGACCAAAACCAACTCAAGAATTGGGTCCTATATTAAGGACCGGACGAGTATTATCTGTGTCTCAAATTATCCATACTTACTTCTCTAATTCATAATAAATAGTACGACCCTCGTGAATGTTAAGACTCCCATTATTTCAATGATAACGCTCAATAGTCTTGTGATCACGATACAACGCATCAGAATATTTGAAAAGAATTGTCACAAAAAAAAAAAAAATTTGAACTGAACAATCTGGGTGATGGTGACTTCGTCAAATTCTATTTCAATTCATGCCACTTATATTACATCCTCATCCAGTAATATTTTCTTTTTATTAAAACATAGGTATCCTTCTATTAAAAGTAATCCCATTCAAGATACTGTTGGGCACTAAATGTGAGTATCTCCTCACTTAATACTCCTCCGGTCCTTAATATAAAACCCATTTAACTAATTTGATTAGATTAAAAAAGTTAGATAAGTTAGTTAATTATAACAAATATGATATTTTTTCCCTAAAACATCATAATCATCTTTCTTAATATCACATCTTCCTCTTCTACTTGATTATGGTGAAGGAAGTATCTATAAGAGTAATTGAGAAAAAATTGATAAGTATGAAAAATAGATATTATATTTAGGACCAAAATTAACTTAACAATTAGACGCTATATTAAGGACCGGAGGAATAATATAATTCAATATGAACTAGTGCAATTCATTTCCGCCCGTAGGTTTCGAATTATCATCAAATGCATTGCTCTTTCCAGTACATATGTGTATATGTTGGTCACATTGTATCCAATAATACTGAGCATTAGCTACTTGTAGGTTTCAGTTTTGATTGTTCTTTAAGGGGGTGTTTGGGAAACCTAAAACCATGGTTTCAGAAGCACTTTTCCGTAAAACGAGGTAATTCCCTCTACATATTTACTTCGTAATCCGTAAAAACACTTCTGAAACTATGGTTTGGTTTCTATCCAAACACCCCTTAAGTATTTTTTTGAAGAACTTTTGTTGTTCACGGAGGTTGTTTACAATTGCCAAGGCTAACTAGTAGATTTCTCACTTTATTTGACCTTGTCTTCTCAAACTTATCAACCGGATACAGATTTGAAGTGGGAAGTTAGAGAGAACTCATCAGGAAAGCACACTAGTATTATACAAGGAAGTTATTACAACTCATTCTGTCCCTAACCGAAGGCAGAATGGGGTCCTAACAAAACAAAAAGAGATATAAAGATATTGCAACATTTGTAAACTATTCTAATGATTAACGAGGATGAAGATAACTATTTAATTAATTTAAATAAAT